ATCCGTCTCCCCGCTCTGGTTCTTTACCCTGTTCCCCCTCGATCCGTTTCCCCCCTTCTGGTTCTTTACCCCATTTCCCCTCGATCCGTCTCCCCCTCTCGCAACTGACTTCATCCAAAGACAAAACCCCCTCAGTATTGACAGGAGTGTGACATTTACCCTCAGATGGGATAGTAGCGTCCATGTCGGCAAATGGCGTTACCGTGAGGCATAGAATTTTGGAGCCTCATGGTTTTTGTTTCTCTTGTTATTGGGACGTGGAGAGATGGGATGATTAATCTGTCAAAATTCTGGTACATGTTGCGAAATATACATGTTATTGACCAGAGGATAACAGAGAGAGAGAGAGAGAGAGAGAGGGAGAGAGAGAGAGAGAGAGCGAGAGCGACAGGGAGAGTCTGGGATAATTTTCCCTGGTGCAGATGAGGGTAACGGGGAGATGGAATGGGAGGAAAGCGTGAGCATTTGCCAAGGGAGCGGGGACTTGTGTCTGCAGAAGGAGATGGGGAACGCGCCGCCCTGGGGGGGGTTCGTGGGATCTTGCTGTGCGCCGTTCGGTCAGCGGCAGCTCCAGGAGGGCGCCTGCGCACGCCCCCCCTGCCCGTGAGGGGGTCTCGGGACGTCAGGAGGTGGAGGATTGTCGCCAGGGAAAACACAGACGTTCTTCCCCACCCCCACCTCAGCCAGTGAAATCAATCCAGATACAACAGTGTGATGGAGAGAGAGAGAGAGAGAGAGAGAGACAGACAGACGAAGGAGGGAGACAGAGAGGAGAGAGAGAGAGAAAGAGAGGGGTGTGGAGAGAGAGATGTGGAGAGAGAGAGAGAGAAAGAGAGAGAGAGAAAAAGTGGTAGATAGAGAGAGAAAGAAAGGGAGAGACAGAGGGAGGGAGAGACAGACAGAGAGAGGGGCAGAGAGAAAGAGAGAGAGGGAGATTGAGAGGGGGTGGGGGAGAGAGACACAGTGGTGGGGGGAATAGAGAGACAGAGAGAGAGAGAGTAAAAGAGAGGAGAGAGAGATGGAGAGACCTAGGGAGAGAGAAAGAGAGATAAAGTGAGAGAGACAGACAGAGAGAGAGGAGAGAGAAAGAGGGAGAGATACTGAGAGAATGAGGTGGTGAGAAAGGTAGACAGGGGAGAGAGAGGGAGAAAGAGAGTGAGAGACAGAGATGGAGGGAGAGAGAGTGAGACAGTGACTGATGGCAGGAGAGGAAGAGACAGAGAGAGATGTAGACAGTAAGAGGGAGTCAGAGAGAGAGACAGAGAGTATGGGGGGGATTAGAGAAAGAGAGTGAGATGATGACAGAGGTGGGGAGAGAGGGGAAGGTGGGAGAGAGAGTGTGAGAGAGAGAGAGAGAAAAAGACCTACAAAGAGACAGAGATTGAAAGAGTGAGCGAGAGGGGGACAGACGGAGAGAGAGTAGGAGAGTAGGAAGAGACAGAGAGAGAATGAAACAGAGTGAAGCCTCAGTGATCGGGTCAGGGATGGAGAAATCTCCCTGGGGTGGGGGGGGGGTGTGGTGGAGCAGTCCTCTGAGGGCTGGGGGTTTGGGGGGGGGTGCGGGAACGGGCTGTGTGCTAAAGCTTCCCCGCTCCTATGTCAACATGTCCCGGTGCCATTCCACCCTTCGGCCTGCAGGCTGCACCGCTGTGCCACCTACAGAGCCGT